AGGGTGAAAAGCATCCTTGTCCAAGGGCGTAGGAATATGTTTACTATTGGGGGGGACACATGTCGGAAATCTGAGATTCGTATTCAACAGAAACATATCTTAAGTATGCTACTTAAAAAAAAGGCTATTTAATCTTTTACTTTATTCCTTTATAAATGTGTCTTGCAAAAATAATGCATTTAAAATTTACATAATGCATTTGTTCATAAGATGTGAGCATATCACCAAACAAAATGACTGGAGTCTTTTATTAAGCAAAGGGAGGTGTCTTTCAAGGGCTTCAACCCTTAGCATATTTAGTGTCTGCATCACACTAGAAAATCAAATATTTCAGTTTGATTAAAAACAATTCACTAAGCCACACATGTGCAAAGTTTGATATGTTTTATTTTGTCAAACTTGCAATAATGGTCAAAAATGAATTTATATAGGTTGACTGACAGAGGGAGCTGACAGTGTGGTGAAGAATTATGGACAGGGCGCTTTGAAGCATCTAGTTCAAAAACGCATTCTAAATCTTTGGTAGAAACCCATCCATCCTTCCATTTTCTGTACACCCTGTCCCTTAGTGGGGTCGGGAGGTGCTGGTGCGGGGTACACCCTAGACAGGTCGCCAATCTGTCAAGACCTTTGGTAGAAATGGCGCCTTTAATTCCAGTTTGCAGTACAGAACAGAGTAGAGCTGGGCGATATGGCGATATATATCGTGAGGACGAGAGAAACATGTCTATCGTGACCTTTTTCCTCAATTTTTTCTATCGTGATAAACTTTTTCACTGTTCACTGTCATGGCCGCAAATTGCATAACTGGTGTTCTTGGTTTGGGGTTGGGATTCTCATATTAGGAAACAAAATGATGGGTAAAAAATAGGCGATGAAAGATTTTTTTCAACCCTGTCCATCTGACGGACTATGAAAACATAAAATGCAACATCAGTTGTGGTATATCGTGATATATATCGTTATCGTGATATAAAATAATCCATATCGTGATATAGTTTTTTTTCCATATCGCCCAGCCCTAGAACAGAGAAAACTACAGAGTTGTCAATGTTGTGTTAATCTGTTTATCGTCTAAAAAGAGGAGCCAGCAGTTTATTTGAGGAAATAAGGGTGCAGAAGTTAATTAGTTGGTTAATTAGTGGTTGTGCAGCAGTTCGCTAACCTGACAACAGCCAGATGCATGTCTGAGCTGGGCGGAGCGAGACATGCATCTGGCTGTTGTCAGGTTAGCAGTTCGCTGCTAAGAATTAAAATTAATTCTCCCTGTGGTTTTAACTAACGATCAGGAGCGCGGCAGGTATAACATCTGTCAATTTCGGCGAATCAAAACCACGCAAAAAATAAAAAAATCCTCGTTAAACGCACGCCCAGATCGGGCTAATTTCAACACAAGTTGTGTTAGGTGACTGTAACTCACACTGACGTTTCTCTTTTTAAAAAAATCTGAGTAAGTCCTACTGCTGTTTCAGCCTTTTAGTTGGTGGTGGTATTGTACTGAAATGAGATATATAAAAAAAAAAAACACTTTGGCTAGCGTAGCAAACGTCTAGAGAAAGTTAGCAGTTAAATATTGGATGAGTGATCATCCCAAGACTACGGAAGAGGATTAGGGCCACTGAAAAAAAAAAAAAAAGTTAGGTGATTTTTAAATTTCATTTCAGTTTAATACGGGAAAAAGGTCAGAATTCTGACTTTTTTTTCTCAGAATTCTGACTTTAATCTCAGAATTGTGGATCTTAATGTAGATGGTCACCATGAAGGAAGAGATGTGGAGCACTCAGCTTCACTGACAAAGATGTGAGTTGTTTGAGGTGGCCAGTGACACATTGGTGGAAAATGATGGAATTAGGCAACTTTTTACGTGCCCGTGGGGTCCCCTCATTAATGGAGGAGCAGAAGAGAGCTAGTCTCTAAAACAGACATGGCTATGGCTGGATGCTAACATGTTTGTTTTTAAACATACTTTTGTTATATTACATTTGTGTTGTGTTTTCCAAATAATGTAGAAAATGGATGGCGGGTTTACCTTTTATGAGCAGGACAGGAAGCAGAGAAGTGTAGCATTACCTCCAACTAGTTAAACTCATAATTATGAAGTTATTCAACAAATTCCTCAAGTAAAAAAGTGCAACTTTTATTTTTTATTTCTTTTTGTTTTTTTTTTTTTACCAGATTTGTTGATTAATTTCAAAATTATGTATTCCTTCCAAATTTCCAAATCTGAAGAATTTTTTAAACCAATATCTACATTATTTAACATTTGGTTTATGTTTTAGCAGTACTTCCTGTTATATTTCTTTATACGTATATTTTACATTTTCTTGCACAGCAAGCTCAGCAGATTTGAAATTGTGTGCTTGTGTAAACACTAGTCAATCTTTACTCTAAACATATATTCTGGTTATTTTTTAGTTAGACCTACTTGTTTTTATGTATCTGTATAAGTACCCCCCGAAAAAAAATAAAAACACTGTAAATTGATTAGAAATATTAATCATCTGTCAGATTTCTGAGAAAAAAGTCAGAATTCTGAGATTAAAGTCAGAATTCTGAGAAAAAAGTCAGAAGAAAAAAGTCAGAATTCTGAGAAAAGTCAGAATTCTGACTTTTTTCCCCATGTTAAACTAAAAAAAAAATGTAAAAATCAGTTAACTTTTTTTTTCCAGTGGCCCTAATCCTCTTCCGTACAAGACTAAGATGACTCAACCAAAAAGATTCAGTTTCTATATATGAAAGTGAAATAAAAACAAAACGTTATAAATGGGCAATATTCATAGCAGCATCCCGACAGACTATTTTACCTCTTTCACAAGTTTCTGATTTCTGTGTCGCCGTTTCCCTCCCTGCTGACTGAGTGCTCAAACACTCAGCAGTTCAGAGAGGGGAGGGGGAGTACAGTGACGTAACGCTATGCTGCGCCTTCAAAATAAAAGCACGCTAGTTAAAAAAATGTCAAAATCTAATATTTTGCGGTACAATTTTTGGGGGGGACATATCCACCTGGCTTTTATATTGGGGGGGACATGTCCCCCCCGTCCCCCCCGCTTCCTACGCCGCTGTCCTTGTCACTGATGGCCTGTGACATTTTCTCCAAGTTGGAAAAGTGTGTCAGCCTCCTGTTTTTCAGCTGTGTTTTCCAAACACCCAGCTTGGCCTTGAACGCATTCACTGCGCTGATCATGTGTGGAAGGTGTCGGTCTTTTCCCTGGAGCTCGCTGTTCAGTGCGTTCAGTTTTGCGGTCAGGTCCGTCAGAAATCCCAGGTCCAGCAGCCACTGATCATCAGACAGCTCCTCACACTCCTCGTTTCTTGTCTCCAGAAAGATCTTTATCTCAGGCAGCAAATCAACAAATCGCTGCAGTACTTTTCCGCGACTCAACCACCGGACATCAACGTGGAGGAGAAGGTCTCCATACGCGGCATGGAGCTCATCCATTAACGCTTTGAATAAGCGGCGCTGAAGCGCTTTTGCTCTAATTGAGTTGATCAGTCTGACCACCACAGTCATAACATGATTAAAGTTCACAACCTTTCCCGCCAAAGCCTGCTGGTGAATGACACAGTGGTAATTTACAAAGTCGGGAAAATCGCTGTCATTACGGCACAACGCAATAAATCCAGAGCGCACGCCGCGCATCGCTGGAGCTCCATCAGTGGTAACTGCCACCAGTTTGTCAATCGGGATGTCATTATCACAGACATATTTTTTAAATGCATTGTAAATATCCTCACCTCTTGTTCTTTCCGTTAAATGCAAAAGAGTGAGAAAATCCTCTTTCGTTGTAGAGTCCAGGAACACCATCCTGACAAATACAACTAGCTGAGCTGTGTCCATTACATCCAGGGATTCATCAAACTGGAGTGAAAAATATTCACAGTGTGACAAATCTGTTAGCACTTGTCGATCCACGTCAGCTGACAGTTCTTCAACTCTCCGCGCAACAGTGTTCGGGCCAAGCTGGATACTGCGGAGCGCAGTTTTGATGTCATCTTTGTTGCTGAAGCTGTTGAAAACCGTATCTGCAGTGATGGCCATTGCCTCTTTGAATAAATCGCCATCTGTAAAAGACTTCTTGTGTTTAGCCAAAAGATGACTAATACGGAATGAAGCTTCAGTCGCAGCCTTATGTTGAACAACAGGTTTTGTGAAAAGTGACTGCTGGATCTTCAAACTCGCTTTCAGCTCAGCAACTTTTCTAGCGCGGAGTGCGCTCTTGGCGGGGAAACTGTCTTTGAATTTGACGTGGTTGGTGTTGTGGTGTCGCTCCAGATTTCCTCTTTTAGACAGCGCAACCGTTTGGTGGCACAGCATACAAATACACTTGTTTTTCACCATGGTGAAAATAAATTCCTCTTCCCATTCCTCATGAAAATGATAAGTTTTCAACTTTTTTCTCACAGCTGCCGCCATACCAGCTGACCACATCTGCTGACCCATCAAATGTCTGGCTTGTGAGCTAGTGCCGTAAATTGTAATTTTGCGACAGTTAATTCTCAAGCTTTATTTTGTTATCGCGATCTACAGGGAATGTTTCAAAGATCTACCAGTCGATCGCGATCGACGGGTTGGCGACCACTGCAGTAAAGGCTTTTTTACAGGGATATCTTTTAACTTGGATCCCTTTCTGCAGAGCACCAGAAGACCGTCTTCTCACTCCATGGAAGCTCTACATGCTCAGTTTCTTTGATCACTGAGTTGTTCTTGCTCTTGTTGAGCCATGATTCTAGATGCTGTTTCTGCAACACCAGTTTACTTTTAAATAAATGATTTGAACAGTGGTTGAATTATCGGGTCTCCACATTCTGTCCCAGCTATCTGGAATAAACTCTCTCAGGTTAAACTGCAGATATCAATTGGCTGCATTCCTAATTTAAAGACTTTCTTCTTATAGATGACACGATTATTTCCTAAATGACTGGAGCAATCTTATCTCTTTCATGATGACCTTACCCTACTGACAGGCTTCTAAATGTAAAGACACAGCTAAATGTCTCACCTTGAGCAGTTCTTTCTTCTGTAAGTACTTTTTCATATTCCTCCAGTTCTTCAGTCACATCTGTCCAAGCGTTCTTTCTCCACACAGTGCTCAGGGTTCTCTCTTTTTCTCTCAGTTTGTCAATCCTATGTAAGATAAAAGGCAAGTTATTTTGAAGTCACATGTTTGGCAACAAGGAAATAGTTTTTTGTTCCAACGAATGGCTAAATTTCATGTAAGTTAAATTATGTTACAATTCTCTGATCTCAGGGCCTTGCTTTAAAGCAGAAGTTATATTTATATTTGAACTTATCTAACTAGTTTCTCAGATGTGTAAACAGGAATGTCTACAATTAGCAGTTTGACCAAAGTCAGGCGTTTGTATATATCCCAAAAATTCCAAATGTTAGTTCACCCAAATTGACAAAACCATATTTACGCCTAAACAAAAACAAACAAAAAAAAGTTCTAAATATCTACTTGTTTCTCAATCACAGGGTTTGAGTTTTTTTCTTATAAAATGAGTGTATTTTGATATCTTTACATTTCCTATTGGGACACAGGCTCCATCCATTATACTTGAGGGCTAGCTAAAAAAAATCCTTGGTGAACATGACATTTATTTAGACTTGGCTAAACTTTGAGGTTTTTCTTTTAAGTGATTTTAAAATGTTCTGAAACACAGTTGGATAGGACATGGACATTTAAAAGCATGAGAACACGGGGAACCAAAATATTGACACAGATAATGACAGCAGCTAATGTCAAGCTGGTTCTTAGACTGATTACTGGTTACAGCTTTATATGTTCAAGATTTAAAAATCAAGAATAGGTTTTGGTTTAGTAAAACAAACTGAGTTGTTCTCTCATCATTATCCTGTTAAAAGGGAGTTTTTCCTCTCCACTGTCGCTGCATACATGCTTGGTATGAGGGATTGATGTACAGCAGGCTCGGACTGGGAATAATTTTTCAGCCCTGGCACTTTTCCATCTACATCGGCCCACTTATGGACCACCCTCGCCCCCGAAAAAAATAAATAAAATAGAAGCACAGTCAAACGTGTGCGTCTCAAATGTGAAACACAATACGAATTCACATTGTGGATTAACTGATCTATCTTCAAGCATCACACAAAAACCATGACCAAGACTTCTATAATGCTGTTTTACTGGCTTTGGTTTTTTTACCAATTTTTTACACAAATAGTTTTTACCCATAGACGGCCATCCTAAACTGCCAGATTGGGAAACATCCCAACCTGGCAACAATGCAAGTAAGACGCGAAACGTTAGGCTTTATATGCAAAACCAAATCACACACCTCAACATATTTTTGCAAAACATTCGAACATAAATTCGCCAAATATACGAGAAACATCGTAGTTTGCTTTAAAGAAAGCATTTTAGTTTTAATATAATTTATTTTGTTGCAATGATTTTACAGTTTGAAGAAATAGAAAATTACACCATATCCCAACAAGGATGTGCATGACAAGGAAGGCCTATATATACTGCATGCATCATTTTGGTAATTAACATTGTATTATGTTGTAAACCAAACTCTTCACTCCCACCTCCTTCATTAATCTCCTGCTTAACCGAAATAAAATCCTGGTTCACCTCCAACTTTCTTAAACTGAATAATGACAAGACCGAAATCCTCTTAGTGGGAACAAAATCTACTTTATCCAAAGCTGACAGTTTCTCCCTTTCATTTGACAACTCCATAATTTCCCCCTCACCTCAGGTCAAGAGTCTGGGTGTCATCCTTGATAGTACCTTGTCCTTCTCCTCTCACATTAACAACCTTACCCGTTCCGCTTACTTTCACTTACGCAATATCAATCGCCTTCGCCCCTCTCTCTCCACTAGCTCCACCTGCACTCTTGTTCATAGTCTGGTCACTTCCCGCATTGATTACTGTAATTCTCTTCTTTTCGGTCTTCCTCAAAAATCCATTCACAGGCTTCAGTCAGTACAAAACTCAGCAGCTCGCATCATTTCTAGAACCCCTTCTTTTCATCACATCACCCCAGTCCTGCAGCAGCTCCACTGGCTACCTGTGAAGTATAGAATTCAGTTCAAAATCCTCCTACTTACTTTTAAAGTTATTCACAATCTCTCCCCTCCATACCTTTCTGATTTACTTCAAATTTCTACTCCCTCCCGCATTCTTAGATCTTCTTCTACCACTCACTTAGTTGTTCCTTCAGCCCGTCTTAAAACCATGGGGAGCAGAGCTTTTTCACGTTCTGCGCCCACACTCTGGAATTCTCTCCCCTCTGACATCTGCAAAACCGAGTCTTTACCCGTATTCAAATCCAAACTCAAAACCCACATGTTCAAGATTGCCTTTTCATTATGATTTTATATTACTTTCCTCTGTGTAATTTGTTTTGTTTCTTTTAATTATGACGACTGCTTTTTACCATTTATTGTTTTTACATGTACAGTGACCTTGAGTGTTTTGAAAGGCGCTTGAAATAAAATGTATTATTATTATTATTATTATTACTTCTTGAGCTGCTTCAGTTATTTACTGACACAGATAGGAGCTTGAGCCTGAGAAGAAGTGTTGGGGCCGGAATGAGTTAAAGAGGGTCCTTGCACACTGAAATTATGAGCAGAGCCTGATGTAGAGTCAATGAGTTGATCCAATCAGCTGTTTTTCCTTAGATAAAAAAACTTTGAACTAGTCTGACTGTATGATCTGGTTGAACTGTCTCTATAAAGTGCCCTCAGATGCACTCTGTGTGAATGATAATAAAGTCTGCCTAAGTCTAAGTCTTGAGATGACATTTGTTGTGAATCGTTGCTATATGAATAAACTGAATTGAATCAAAATCATTCTGCTTATATTGAATATTTGTTTTGTTCTACATTGTATGATCCAGGTTAAAGCTAATTAACTCACTCCCTCCTTATCTTCTCAGCTTCCCTGAGAAAGTGAACAACTTACTGCCTTTCCAGCCTGTCCTCTTCTCTTCTTCCACCTCTGACCCTGTAAGCAGTGGTTCTTTGGCAAGACTCCATCTCCTCCTATAAACAAAGACAACTATGAGAAACAAAAGAAACACAAAGGTCTAAAGAACAGAAGCGGTTGCATCCATTTTCGGCCAGACATAAAACTCGTAGGGTGTTTTTAAGGTCATTTGTAATTTATACAATATAGTTAAATGAATGACAGTTGGCTAAAACGTTTTGCTAACGGCTTTCTAGCTCTCACAGACAAACATTATCTACTCAGAGTAGCACATTTTTATTGATATATTATCATTTTATATCTAAATAAGACAAACAGCTCGTTATATTTACCAGTTTAGCAGCGGGTGAAGCGGTTGCTATGGCGGCAAAGTTTCAATGAAAGCGAACTTCAATGAAAATGCAGCGCGTTGGTGTTGTTTCTAGTTTCAACCAGCAGAGGGCGCTGTCTGCCGCCAAAACGATTCACCTGCTGTTCTAAACAATTTGACACAAAAATCAAAGCTAAGTTCCAGTTTTTTAACCGTTTTTTTTTTCATACCATATCCTCTCAGAGAAACTCAAAAAGATAAAGCTCTGAGCTCTTACTCAACCAAAGACGTTTTAACCACTTTTGATGTATATTTTGATAGCTTTTATTGTTTTGGCTCATTGCCATTTCACACAGTCCAGATAGTGCCTCAGCTTTTGCTTTTTGCAGACGTTGTTTCCTAAGAACGACCTGATACAGGGGAGTATCGGTCTCCGCCAAGTGACGTCAATTGTTTACCTCGGGCGCGGTACACTATGCCTTTTACGCCTAAAATGGCGTCTTAGCAACAAATGTCACGTGACTGGCGGAGACCGATTTTCTTAAATCCGCCCCTGTTTTCAGGCTTATGTTAACTGTAATGACTTATCTTGGACAGGCTGCTATGTAAACAGGCCTTTAGTCCTTCGTTTAGCTATGCTGCGGTTGTTTACACTACACCTTTTACACCTAAAATGGCGTCTTAGCAACAAAAGTCACGTGACTGGCGGAGACCGATTGCATTTTATTAAATTAAAGACTGGTCAGGTCTTGCTGCAGCAAAGGATCCCCAGCCACTAATTATTTCAGATACTTCCCTCTGGCAGGAGGATGCGGTCCATCAGGACCAAAACCTCACGCCACAAGATCTGTTTCTTCCCATCTGCTACCAGCCTTATCAACAAGGTTCAGAGACCCCCGTGACATTTGACACTGCCTCTCTCCCTCCCCCCTTTCAGACGTAGAAGCTACACCAATGCAGACTCTTCAGACCTCCTGTCCGTTACATTAAGGCACGGTCTACTGTGTGTATAGTATATGGCTAGATACTTTATATTGTATATAGTATATACTATATTTCATACTATACATAGCTATATATATATATAATTTGCACCATCAACACCAAGTCTAATTCCTTGTAAGTGCAAACCTTCTTGGCAATAAACATGATTCTGGTTAATATTTTTTTAAGAGCACTTTCAGTAAGAGGTTTCCTGGCATACATCCCATTATAGTTAAGCTTGTACAATCTATTTTGGATTTTGCAGACATGAACTCAAATGTCACCAGCAGTAAATGCTTCCTGTAGCTCCTAAGAAAACATTTTAGTTTTTGAAAGATTATATACATTGTAGGTGGGGATAAATATGGATGTGTCCCTATTCATTCCTCGACAGAAAATGCAGTTGTACTAAATGACAAACTGTACATGTAGTTTTCTTATGTTCATCATCTTAAATAATTTAGGTGTGTTTCTAAAATGAGTATCAAATGTTGGTGCATCCAAATATGATAAAGGTGTTTTATGTGGGCAAAGCTTGAAATAAAGCTTTGATCAACTTTACAACACGTTGTGTGTCTCATGTAAAAATATTCTTTATGAAAATTGAGAAAAATAGGCTTGTTAAACATCCAATGCAGTCAGACCAGCTGACGGCAGCATGCCTAACTCACTGGTAATGATTGATTTGTTGTAAATTTTTGTAAATAAGTGTTTTATTGTCATCACATTCTGCAGTTTTCTCATAAAAATATATTTATATGTAGATATTTTTTGGGGGTCTTTTTTGCATTTTGTGATGTTTTATGTTTCTCCTTTTCTTGCAGCAGCCACTCTGATCTCAACCAAGAAATCCTGAAATCGATAAATAAATAAAAAAAATGTTGGAGTCTTTGTGAGACAGTGTGGCTGAATTCCTTTTTAAAATCTTAGGTTTTCATTTCTGTTTGTCTGTAACCCAGAAGCTTCAGAGTGCATCTTGACACAGCTCCATGGTTAGAACCACCTACACTCCTCAGGCTCTTCAATAACAGCTTATGCATTCTGCAGAGTCCTTGGCTTTTTTTCTTTTTTTTTTTTGTAACAGCTTTTTCATAATGGCCAACAGCTATAATTATTATGAGAGCTGGCAAAGTGACAGTCAGAGAGAAAATAGATGTGTGTGTAGGGACTGCTGTATAAATAGCAACCTGAATCCACTATTGGGTACAGATATTGGGGATGGTCTCTCCCATGAGTGCAGAGGCCGAGTTGTCATCGCCACATAAATAGCAACTGCTCTCCTTAATGAAGAGTTACAATTTCCTGTCTCATCTTGAGCCAAGAGACTTGCTTAATTTGATGAAAGACACAATCTGATTAACTTTTGCTTGTCGCTATAAAAGACCAAGCAAACAGAAGAGGACAAAGTAGGGAGATTCCGAATTAGATGGATATGCGCTTGAGAAGCCAACTGTCAGAAAAGCAGTTTCAAATGAAAATGTAATAATTTCTGTTGAACAGAAATGTTATTTTTGGTCTTCTGAGTCAGTCAGAAAAAGTCTGGCTACTCCAGAATACCTCAGTTCGGGGTTTATACACACTTCACTGTATTTTCTAAGGATTGTACAAAATGCAGTTTCAGTGTCTATAATATTGCATTAATAAATTACTGCTTAGATGATATATGGTAGTGATGATATTTCAGGTGGTATGCATTAAAACTTTGTGTTCAAATAATATATGGTATGTACAATTTTGATCACTTTAACCATCTTTATGTCCACAACCAATAAATCACTGAGATACCAAGATCAGCGAGTTCAGGCAGAGTGGTTAGAAGGCTGTGATGATGGAAAGGACAATGTAGGAAGGAGTATGTTTGCTAATTCTAATGAATATGTCTATTGCAGGCTTGCACACTGGGGCAGCAGGTAGCACTGTTGCCTTGCAGCAAGAGGGATCCAGGTTCAATCCCCCGCCTGGGATCTTTCTGCATGAAGTTTGCATGTTCTCTCGGGGTACTCCGACTTCCTCCCACAGTCCAAAAAATATTATAGTTAATTGGCTTCTATAATTTTGACAGGCACCATTCATAATCACCAGCCTCCCTCATGACCCCAGCAGGAAGAAGCGTGATATAAAATGGATGGATGGATTGATGTCTACAGCAATAATAAATAAAATAATAAAATAAAAAAAGAACATTGGAGCTTCCTTTGTGTAAGGCAGTAAACAGTGTGAATGAGCAGAATCAGTAAGCTGCAAGAATAAAGCAGGTTTTGGTTATAAAACAATATTCAATGCTATAGCATTATAAAGAGCACCTTTCAACCCATCCATTGGTCTCCCCACTTAAACCTAAAGGCTGATGGGGAGCACACATTCGTATTTCTATCCATATTAACACTTTATATTGACCTAAGAACATTCATTTATCTATTGCATTGACATTTACCCTAACATTAACCTCGAGTGAATGCACACCAAATCTCTAAACTGACTCCCTAACATCAAAATTAGGTGTCAACCACATTAGAACCAGCCTTTGATTCCTACAAAGCCAGTTGGTCCTCAGAAGAGTAGTAAATATACCAAACCAGTCTTAAATATGTTGCATAACCACGTACACTATTACCCAACAGCAATTTAGGGAAAGCATCTAACTTAACAATCAGGCTTTGTTCAACCTTATGCAAAAAAAAGAAAAAAAAAATGAGGTGTCAGAACTTCAAAGCTACAGAATTAAGGCATTTTACCTCAAGTTGAAAGCAAAGAAGCAGCAAACACAGCCATTGCAACACGAAGTGTAGAGATCAACACTTTAAGTGGGTGAATCTCAGAATAAACACTAGTTTACACTCCACATATTTGGTTTACAAAGACGATGGTAAGAAAATTGCAGCATTTGTGGGAAAAAAGAAAAAAAAACACCATCAATTTATTCAAAATATTAGTTTCCTAAACATAATGTGGGGGATTCAGAAAAAGTGCAAACAACACCATAAGTAAACCCTTTGGCCTAACACATAATTAATTCACCATCATTATGGTAAAACAGAAGGGTGGCAGTATCATGCTATGGGGATGCATCTGTTGAGCAGCAAGGGAGCTGGTCAGAATTCATAGGAGGTTGAACTGAGCTTAATTAAACATAGGCTGCAAAACAAGATGAGGACAATAACCAAACAGAATGTTTTAAACATTTTTATTTATTGAAATGTATAAATGAAACTAAGACAATGCACAAAAAAGACAGAAATATGTATTATGTGTTCCTAAATACACAAGGAATAAGATAAATATCTCTATTCTATTCTATTCTATTCACTTAAAAAACCAATTTGTCTTGAATAGGCCAGTTTAGATGCTGACAGGGGCTTTATGTAAAGAAAGTAAAAACTCTGATTATATGGAAGATGTGACCTTTGACCCCCTCTCAGCAACTAATGGGTTATGTTGAAATATGAGACACGATCCCTGTAAAATGAGAGGTGTACGGATGGAGGGGAGTGGGAGCTGGAACCTGGTTATTTATGTCATCTGCACCCATGTTTATTGGCGTGCAAACATGTGACTGAAGTCAGGTGTGTTTAATTGTGTAACTCCTCATCTTCAGTGGCTGAGAGGGTTTTTCATATGTCTGTTTAACAGCTACGAACAAGTAGGCATCCAGCATTGAAAAACATACTAAGCCTGGAAAGATACATAAGTGTTACTAACAATCCTAAACAGAGTATTGTACTGAATTTTAGCCATTGTAATCATTATCTAACAGGT